CCAAACAAGGCTAATTTCACTACAAAAACAAAGATAGAAAAGTATCAACTACAATTTCGGTTAGTTATAAATTGAGATTAAAACATCTTTCTTAATTATTTTGATTAGAAAAGTATGCGATTGTATGGTTGAGATGGCACCTGATTGGGATCAAGTGTGATCAGTCAAGGCATTTATTCGGTGTGAGATAGATTTGCACCATAGATCGTCAATCCAACAGTCAGATCTGATCGGATGTGATCAAGGGAGATGACCACTCGATTAGGTGCATCAAGGTCTATAAATAGGCTGCAAAATCAGCCATGTCAGTGACTCCAAAAAAAAAAATCTTAAAACATTCCTGCAATTCTCTCTCTCTCTCTCTCTCTCTCTCTCTCTCTCTCTCTCTTGTGATTTAGAGCTTTCGACCAAGAATTTTTTAAGCAACTTTATACTTTTCTTATTGGTAATCAAATTCTATAAACTTGATTATCTGTGTCTTGATTTTCTTGATTATATCAAGAGTATTCAGATCTACTATCATTAGTGTAGATATCGGTAGACTTGATCCTTAGATCAGGTTTCGTTGTGTGTTGAAGGCAAATTTATTGTAACCTCCTGCACACATTTTGGTGGGTGCAAATTTTGTCTTTAGGAAAACGACAAAGTAACGCAACTTGAAGCATCAATTTTCTGTTCTACATAGACAAGATCATCGTCAAGTTTTGATGACCCGAAGATTACCAATTTAAGAATTCAAAATGAATTGTTCCAACAATCTAAAGACAATATTTGTATATGGCAATGTCTATTCAGAAAATGACTCAAGATTCATGAAGCTTGACCGATTTGGAGGAAATTTCTGATGCTAGCAAAAGAAGATGCACTTCTTGCTCACTACTCTCAAAGTGGTTTATGTGCTGACTACCCCTTATTTGGTGAAGCAAGAAGATGAGATGGTGGAGTAAACTCATACCAAAACCAAATGGGAGAATGACGACTATATTTGTCGAGGACGCATTCTGGATGCGCTGTCAGACTCTATGTTCGATGTGTATCAATATCTGGAAACGGTAAAGCAACTCTGAGACATATTGTAGTCAAAGTATCTCACCAAGGATGCCACCAGTAAGAAATTTCTTGTTAGTAATTTTATGCATTTTATTATGAATGATACAAAGCTCACTATGGAACAATTCCATGAGATCCAACATATTCTAAGTCAGTTCCGACAATAGAATATGAACATGGATGAATCTATTATAGTTTTATCTATAATAGAGAAACTACTATCTTCTTGGAAGGATTTTAAGATAACCTTGAAACACAAAAAGGAAGATCTTACTGTACAGGAATTGGCTCAACACCTTTGAGTTGAGGAAGAGTTAAGACTTCTTGAAAGTAAAGATAACCAATTGACTCAAACTTTCAAGATCCACATGGTGGATGATGGCAAGAGGTTCAACATAGGGAAGCATAAGCGTGACCCCCAACCTAGGAAAGATGCTAAGAAGCCGAAAGGCGTTTGCTGGTACTGTGGCAAGCCAAGGAACTTCAAACATGAATGCCGGTCATACGAGAAGAAGTCAAAAGCATCAAATGCCAAAAACAAGTTCATGGCTGTTGCACCCAATGTGAACATGCTCAATGATGCTGGTAACTAGTGGATTGACTCAAGAGCAATGAGGTACGTCTGCAATGACAAGAGCCTTTTCACCACTTATGAACAAGTGAGTGATGGAATAGTTCTCTACATGGGCAACTCTTCAATAGCTACTATCAAAGGCAAAGGGACGGTGGATCTAGAGTTCACACCTGGAAACATCTTAAGTCTTAGTGATGTCTATCATGTACCTGATGGCAGGAAAAACCTTATATCTAGAAGCCTACTTATAACAATTCTGGTTTAGACCCAACCCATTTCTTGCTTTTGAATTTGGGAATCCACATTCGTAACTGTTGCTCATTTCATTTGCATCTTGTTTCTAGTGAGTTGGGTTGTTTGGGAGTTGTTATTATGTTTGAAACAGGTTTGGAGTTAGTTTTTCAAAAGAGTTATTGTCCAGATTTTTGCTTGTTTGCTTGAACGGTCTTTCTTGCGCTTGAGCGGTCTTTGAGATCTCCCAGTATTTTTGCAGGTCTACAAAACTTCTAGGAGTAGGGTGTTCTTCGCTCGAGCGGTCTTTCTTGCGCTCAAGCAGTCTTCTTTAATCTACAAAACTTCTGGAAGGGGGTCATTGGTGTTTTGGTCACTCGAGCAGTCTGCGTGTATATAAGTTCGGGAAAATGGACTTTTGGATCACTTTTTCATTCCTCTCTCTTAAACATTTCAAAATCCTAAGTTCTTCACTCTCTCTCTCTCTAGTTCTTGATTTCAAGTCCCAAATACTCCAAATCCATTGATTTCTCCACCATAGCTCATAAGAGAAAAAGATAGAGCATGTTGAGGGCTTCGTTCTAATCGGAGGAGTTATTGTTTTCGCCTCCACCAAACTTTAACTCTTGCTCTCTATTGTCTTCTAGCTTTGAGGTACAAATTTCTTCAACCTTTGGTATGATTTTTACCTTAGTTACTTGCTCATTGAAATAATCTAGTGATTTGGGGATTTTGGGTTAAACCTAGGATTTGAAATTTAAATGTAAAATAGGGGTTTTCAAATGGGTTCTTGAGAAAGGTTGTGGGAATGTGTTAATGGTTGAGATATGTTAAAGTAGTGGATTTCTTTACTCAAAATTGATTTTTGAAAGTAAATGAGGTTTCTTTCTAAAATCATGGATAAATGGTTTGTGAAAAAAAATGGAAAATGATGTTGGGTTTTGAAAGAATGGAACGAATGTGTATGTTGATGATGATGGTGGAATTAGATATGTGATATCACTCCTGTTTGAAAATGATGAGATTATATCTGTTGTTGGAATTTATCTGTTGAATAGAAATATATATTTTGGGCTATCGGTGAAAGATAGCTTTGATTGTTGTAGAAATTGCATTAGAATTAGGTAAATTGAAACTAATTACTCATACATCTTATATTGAGCATTTTTGCATATTTAAACATTGAAAACGCATTGTTTTGAGAAAAATGAGTGAATACCTTGGTAAATCTGGTTAGGATGTATGGTTGTGATTATTATGTTGGCCAGTGTGTCCTCGGTGAAAGTCCAGAAACCCGCGCGGTTAGGTACCAATCCTTCTAGTTAGTACCGGTAAAATGGCTTTGGTAGTGCTTGTATAACCTACTAGCAGACACATACCTAAAGATTCTTAGTGTTTTGTATCCATGGCCCTGTTTTATGATATAAAAGGTTATTTTCATGAATTGATATATAATTTGGCATTGCATTGTTTTGAGATGGAAATGTGAAATGTTTGACAAATGGCATTGCATATGCATTCAACTTATGACTCGTTAAGATTTATATATTGTGTTAGAATATCTTTATTGAGCTTTAGCTCACCCTACGTGAAAAATAGCTTTCAGGTGCTGGCGATATGCCTCCACCAAGAACATAGCTTTGTAAGACTTGGAGCCAGGAGTAGCTTTTTTTTTTTTTTTTTTTTTTTTTTTAATTTGATGTAATTATTTTGTATAAGCCTTGGGCTTAAACTGTATTGAGTTGAACTCATTTTGTTGTGCCCAAGCATAGACTTGGAAAGATGTAGCCATTAGGGCATAAATCTTATTTGAACTTTCTTTTATTTTAATTCACGTATATATGTCATATATTATAGATTCAGGGTCTAAGATTTATGAATGTATAACGCATATGTCATCTTTTGTAAGATCAAGGATTATGAAGGGAATATTAATTACAATGTTATTGATAAATTGTAAGGAATACTATGAGAAGGGTTTTTGTTATTATTTCGGGACGTTACACTACTTAATAAGCATGGTTTCAAATTGGTATTTGAGTCGGACAAATTTATCCTGTCTAAGGATGGGATTCTTGTTGGAAGGCCACAAGTATCAAGAAATGTTCGCACTTAATGTCATCAATAATACATCTGTTTTTGCTTATATTGTTGATTCTCTTTCTTTATGGTATGCTCGTTTAGGTCATGTTAATACTATGAAAATGCATGATATGGTTAATTTAGATTTAATTCCTAAGTATGACATTGACATGTTTGAAAAATGTAATTTTTGTGTGCAATCTAAAATTATTCGCATTCCATTTCCTAAAGTAGATAGAACCACATCTTTGCTTGAACTTATGCGTAGTGATGTATGTGACATGCATAGTACCCCCACTAGAGGTGGTAAGAAATATTTTGTAACATTTATTGATGATTTTTTTAAGTACTGTCATATCTATTTTTTGCATTCAAAAGATGAAATGCATGATAAATTCAAGATTTTTAAGACAGAAGTAGAAAATTAGTATAATGTCAAAATAAAGAGACTTAGGTCTAATAGAGGCGGTGAATGCCATTTTCCAGAATATTGTGAAAATGTTGGTATTAGTCATGAGAAGTCTGCACCCTATACACCACAGTAACATGGAGTAGTTGAAAGACAGAATAGGACATTAACAGAAATGATTAATGCTACGTTTTCTTATTCTAATTTAAGTTCTAGTTTTTTGGGTGAAACCTTGTTCACTGCCTATCACATACTCAATAGAATTCCTTTCTAAGGAAGAAATGTTACTCCTTATGAACTTTAGAAAAACACTTGAAAATTTGGGGCAGTAGAGAAATAATCAGATTGCCTGAATGTAAAAGGAAGAAATTAGATGAAAAAGGAATTGAATCCATATTTTTTGGATATGCTATTCATAGGAAAGCATATAGGTTTCTAGTAATAGAACCCAATGGTTCAGTAAAAATAAATACCATCATTGAATCACGTGATGCGGTATTTTATGAGAATCGTTCCATAACCATTCCAATGTTGGATTCTAATCAAGGAAATGAATCAACTCCTTTGATGACTATAAAGGAAAATGAATGAAATAAACTCATTGAGCCTAATGAACCTAATGAGCTTGTTGAGCTAAGAAGGAGTAAGAGGGCTATGACTGAAAAGTCTTTTGTTCCTGACTTCATTGTTTACCTAGTAGAAAGGGATGCTCATTGTAAACAAACAATGCTTTCTTTAAATGTGGATTTAGATCCATCAACCTTTGAGGAAGCTATGAAGTCTCAATATGTTGCTTTCTGGAAAGCAATAACTAATGAGATGGATTCTATCATGGGTAACAATACTTGGATACTTGCTGATTTGCCACTTGGATCCAAACCAATTGGTTGTAAATAGATTTTCAAAATGAAGATGAAAGTTGATGGTACAGTTGACAAGTTCAAAGAAAGATTAGTTGCTAAGGGGTTTACTCAAAATGAGGGTATCGATTATTTTGATACATATACTCTGGTGGCCAGAATCGCCACAATTCGAGTATTGATTGCTTTGATTGCTTTAGCCTCAATCTACAAGCTTGAAATCCATCAAATGGATGTTAAGACCGTTTTCCTAAATGGAGAGTTAGATGAGGAAATTTACAAGCAACAATCGGAAGGATTTGTTGTACAGGGTCAAGAACATAAAGTGTGTAAACTCGGTAAGTCACTATATGGACTGAAACAAGCTCCAAAATAATGGTATGAGAAATTTGACAAAGCAATTGTGTCAAATCGTTTTAGGATACATGAATATGATAAGTGTGCGTATAGTAAGTTTATTGGTAATAGAAGTGTAATCATATATCTGTATAGACGACATGATTATTTTTGGTACAGCCAATGATGTCATTGACAGTACTAAAAGTTTCTTGTCATCTAGCTTTAGTATAAAGAACATGGGCTTGGCTGATGTAATTCTGGGCATTAAGATCAAATGAGAGAACAATAATTTGATTCTTACCCAGTCGCACTATATTGAGAAAATTCTTAAGAAATTTAATTAATATAATTGTACACCAATGTCTACACCTTTTGATTCAAATTTAAAATTGTATCGTAAGGCTGGAAAAGCTGTTAATCGGTTAGAATACTCAGGAGTAATAGGTAGCCCAATGTATGCCATGACTTGCACTAGACCTAATATTGCATTTGCAATGGAAAAACTTAGTAGATACACTAGTAATCCCAGTAGTGTGCATTGGCATGCTGTTAATCGAGTACTTAAATACATGAGGAAAAGAATAAACTATGGAATATTCTATAATGGCTATCCAGCAGTCTTGGAAGGATTCATGGATGCTAGTTGGATAATTGATCGTGAGGATCATTCGTCTACAAGTGGTTAGATTTTTACTCTTGTTGGAGGAGCTATCTCCTGGGGCTCTAAGAAGCAAACATGCATAACAGACTCAACCATGGCGTCTGAGTTTGTAGCATTGGCTTCTTGTAGCGAAGAGGCAGAGTGGCTAAGGAATCTCTTGTTAGAGATTAAGTTATGGCCAAAACCTATGCCACCAATATCTTTGCATTGTAATAGTGAAGCAACACTATCACAAGCCTATAGCCATGTCTATAATGGAAAGTCCAAGCATGTAAAGAGGAAAACATAGAGCACTTAATAAAGTGTTACATGGAATATTCCTTTGAATATGGAATTATGGAATGGATGCTAGTGTGCATGCACTTACACCACAAGGATGGTGCTTCGGACCATCCGCATATGCATATACATGAGTGTAGGAACCCACATTTTATGTTCTCATCATGTTCATGAGCATCTGTATGATTATGACTTGTTAAATTTGCATGTGTATGTTTGTGACTTGTTTCGCTTAGGCGAGTGTGATCCATGCCTTGTTTTGAAGCCTTGTGATTTGTCTAAGTGTAGTATGCTTGTCTTGTTCCTTCCTTGGTGTGAAACTTAGGTCGCGCCTTGCCTGAGTTATGCTAGCCGATGTTATCCCAAGCCAAGGTCATCCTTAGTCTAGTAGTAGTACCTTGGAACCCCTTTTCGACCTCCGTCCTTGCCTTGATCACATTAGCCGAGATGTTACCTTGCACCCAAGCGATCTCGTCCTGGAGTGGTACGACCTAGGCCGAGGTGTGGCGCATCTAGGCCAAGATGTGGCACAGCTTAGTCAAGTGTTGTCCTTCCTAGCCGAGGTCATTGTCACCTTAGTTGCCGAAGTCCTTTGTTAGCCGATGTCACCCCTTGCCGGAGTGCCATTCCGTATAGCGTGTTAGATACGCCTTGTTGTTAGCCGATGTTATTGCCTTGTCAGAGAGCCCATACCGCTTTGCTTGTTGAACACCCTTCCACCATACTTTGTCTGGCCTGTCGGCCACCTTTTCAGGAAGAACCCAACCAGTCGCCGCCACGTGTCCCAGCAGAGGGTTAACCCCAGAACCGGGTATAGAAAACTATCATTTAGTGTCATAAACTTGTCTTATAGAGAGAGAAACTCTAGGAGGAAGAAGGAGTTTTAGAGTGAGGAAGTAGACCTTCAAGCTTGATTCCTAGAGATCCAACCGTTAGATCCGCGTTCTAAGGTTAGATTCTTGATCTACTCATGATGTTCTTTATGTTTATGTTATTGCATTGCATGATCGGATATCATTTGTAAGCCATGCATCGTTTTGAAGTTCGATTTTAGAAAGAGAAAATGGCATTCATGTGTTCTTCAAGAAAGTCTTGTTTTGATCCGAAAGCTCGCATAAAGAATCATGTTTTTGTGTTTATTTCCGCAAGAATTTCAAGTACGGGTACCCAGGTCCATGTTTTCAAACTCATAGCACAAAAACCCCAGATTTATGATGACAGATTATGATTGAACATTCATGTTTTTCATGTTTTCACACTCATGTTCTTCATGTTCATCAGCAGAGGGAAACCCAGAGTTTCCCGACCTCTTTTCCTTGCATGTGGCCCTCGGGAACACACCTCGGCGTGGAGGTGTGGAACCTCGGCCTAGACCTGGTTGGTGCCCAGCATGTTTTCCGGAATCATTTGTGTACATACAAAACTTGTTGAAGGTGCATTCAATAGGCTTTGCCCTGTGTTTGTAGGACTTGGGCCTGTCTCGACCCCGACGTGTGAAGAAACTATGTGAGTGGTATTTTTAATAAAGTTATGTTACACTTGCTTTCATAAAATCTCGTCTTGCCTTGTTTTGAAAAGTACTTGATCTGGCATGAATGACTATCCCTACTTGTATATTAAACGCTATCTTGTTTTGATGACATGTCTTGAAAGTCCTTAGCTGCAGGGGACTATAATGCAACTGCACTCTTGTCTTGAAAGTCCTTAGCTGCAGGGGACTATAATGCAACTGCACTCTTGTCTTGAAAGTCCTTAGTTGCAGGGAACTATAATGCAACTGCACTCTTGTCTTGGAATTGTCATCACCCTCTTGTATTAAGTAGATGTATTAACATCCAAAGAACTTGAAAGGCCGGCAATGAACTTGATTTCCCCTTGATTGTAAAGTATGCTATGTATTGTTCTGAAAGAAATCTTGGATATCAATCATGCAAAAACCTTTATTTCTAATATCATTCACTGAGTATCCAAGCTCACCCTCTCTATATATATGTAGGTGATGAACAAGAAGGCATTGAGGCCTAGACGTGATTGCCGATGTGTTTTGGGTGCATAGCCGACATGTTTTGGATTAGCATTTTTGCACCATCTTGAAGATCATGCTTCTCGGCTTGTTTTTCATTTGTACTTGTATACGTCGGCTTGAGAAGCCTTTTGGTCAAGATGTGTTTTGTATCTCATTTCCTTATGGTATTTAAGTTGTAAAACTTTGTAAAGATGTATGTCATTTCATTGGACTTAAGCACGGCTCTCATGGACTATTTAGATTCCGTATATATATATATATATTGCTTCCGCACTTGTAAGCCCCATATTTTATACTCTGATTGTGTGTGATTTTGAAAGTTGGCCTTCGGTAATTACGGATTACTGGCCATCACGGCACCAAACTACTAGGGGCGGTTTGGGGGCGTGACAATGAGTGTGGCATAGGCAGTAAGCTACGTGGTGTTTGATGGCACACTTTGCACTTTTCATGGACGCATCAGTGCCATAAGGGTGCTTTTCTATTTGCATCGTACAGGTTAGAGAGATGATATGGATTCAACGTGGCATGGGTGACGTGGAATATAGTCAACTCCACGTGGTAGTGATGTGGCGTCTGTTGGCAATAGGTCAACCAACTGATCGAATGCTTGTGTGTTCGATCTGAAGCGGTTTGGTCATAGTTGTTGATTGGAGATGCACACGATCGTACGGTTGAGATGGCACCCTATCATGATCAGGTGTGATCAGTCAAGGCATCTATTCAGTGTGAGATGGATCTACACCATAGATTTTCGATCCAACGGTCAGATCTGATCGGATGCGATCAAGGGACACGATCATTCCATCAAGTACATCAAGGTCTACAAATAGGCTGTAAAATCAGCCATGTCAATGATTCCAAAAAAAAAAAAAAAAAAAATCCTTAGAGCATTTCTGCAATTCTCTCTCTCTCTCTCTCTCCCTCTTGATTTAGAGTTTTAGATCAAGAGTTTCTTAAGCAAGTTTTTACTTTTCTTATTGGTAATCAATTTTGTAGACTTGATTATCCGTATCTTGGTTTTCTTGATTATATCAAGAGTATTTTGATCTATTGTCATCAGTGCAGACGCCAGTAGACTTGATCCTTAGATCACGCTTCATTGTATGCTAGAGACAAATTTACTGTAACGCCCTACACCTTTTGATGGTTTTAAATTTTGTTTTTAGGAAAGCGACTAAGTAATGCGACTTGAAGCATCAATTTTCCGTTCTACATAGACAAGATTATCGCCAAGTTTTGAAAATCTGAATAAAAAAAAATGGTAGTATTTTTATGTTTAGGTTCTTTAAAGCCATTAAAAATAATAAATAAAATATAAATAAAATAGGAAGAGATATAGGAAAAAAAATATTTTTAACTTGAAAATGTATAGATAGGCGTTGAAATGACCAAAAAGAAAGAAAAAGGGATAAATAGGTCCTAAAAATGGACAAATAGGCTTTAATATATACAGCTATGCCTCTTTTTAAACTATTTGTCCCCCAAATCTATTAAAAAAAAAAAACCTTTCCCATATTTGAACTTATTTAGATCTATTTGTCCCCAAATTTTTAACTTATTTATCACCATACCTAGACCTATCTATCCCCATATTTTTAACCTATCTATCATCGTATTGGAACCTCTTTATCTTCATATTTGAACCCATATGTCCATATATTTGTTACCTATCTCCCTTAAATATTTTTTTTATCCTATCTATTATGATATTTTTAATTACACATAGATATCCCCATGTTTGAACCTATCTATCCCCATATTAGATCTATTTGTCCCCATTTTTTTTTAATTCATTTAAAAGTGATTTAAAAATATATAGATAAGCATATATGTTATTATTTTTAATTTTTAAATTCATTCTATTTTTTAATTAATTTCTTAAAAAGTCCACATATAGGCATATTATATCCCGTTTCTTTCTTTCTTTCTTTCTTTTTTCCCTTCAAAATTTCACATTGAATATCGATCTTACTTGAAAGACCTCAAAAAGGAGAATATACGTTGATCTTGTTTAACATATCTTCAAAAAACCGAATTTATAAATATCAATTTTATTAAAAATGGATATGTAGAACTCAAGTTATGAAATTTCAAAGTTTTTATGTATAAAACAAACACAATGGTATATTTGTCCAACAGAAAATGCATGTCTTTATGACTTTAAGAGTTTAGTGCGTGAAGTAATTATCACAAAAGTTTAAAAATTAAATTTATGGCCTAAGTTCTCTATTTAATACTTATTTTTTATTTAGACATAATTTTTAAAATACTTATTAAGTAATTACGAAGTCACAGTTTAATCTGATTTTACATAATTAAATTAATAACCCATCCATATGACCCCTTATCTAATTTCTTTACCGATCTAGTTTTTAAAACCTTGTTTTTTACACCATGCTAGGAGCCAGTGTATGCACATATAGCTAGTAATTTCAAAAAATTATTGGTCCCAGTGGGGTAGTTGATCTTGACCCTCACACTCTACTAGGATTGGAACAAAGCATATATATTATATACCTCCATTGGAAGAAAGTAAACTCAATGAAATAAAATAATATAAAAGGGCAAGAAGTGAAATGTTTTTTTGACAATTGTTTTCTGTCCTTTGTTTTGCTTCTTGTTATTTGAACCATTAGGTTACAGTCTTGACAGGTTTTAGCCAATGATCTATTTGGAGATTTTCAAAAGTTAAGTTTTAGTTTTTGGATGTTTTCACA